GGTAGCACCATCTAGGTGCACCGATTGGCTGTAGCAGCCGCACAGCCAGTCTCGTCTTTGATCCTGGCTCGAAATAGTTGCACGGCGAGATCATCAACAACAAAGCACGCACGCACACACAGTTCTCTAGAAAAAAAGAATTCCGAACTCCTTGCTGCCGCATCAACTTGACATCTTTCTTCATCCGCTAGAAGATGAAGAACCGGGACTACGTCAACTACCGCATGAACCTCCCCAATCCTGATCCGAGCAAGCGGAGGCTTCTGGGGCCGGCGATTCAACGTGAGCCCTGGTACTCGATGCACAGGCCGCGAAACATCATCATCCTCTCGGCACTTCTAAGTTCGCTGCTCTTTCTGAAGCCCATCAGCGATGTTTTCTACTCCCTCAAGAACGGCATCCGCCTCTACAGAGCACAGGAGCAGTTCAAGAGGGAACTCGACGAGGAAGAGAAGCTTGAGATCAATAAGAAAGAATGATTTTTGTGAAAAATTAGATAGCTTTTGTAAATAAAAAAGTGTAACACGTTTTAATTTGTTGATAAATTGAATGTAAAAGGATATAAAGAATCGAATGTGGTCACAGAAAATGATGGCGCAAGTTGGCAAGTTATTTTCTAGAGTTGCGAAAGTGTTTTGAAGGAAGAGGTGATCAAGAGGTCGCAAAGGCGACTACCATTTAGGATATTATGCACTTTTTGTTGTTTTCCTGCGAAGAGGGAGCTGCNTTTTTGTGAAAAATTAGATAGCTTTTGTAAATAGAAAAGTGTAACACGTTTTAATTTGTTGATAAATTGAATGTAAAAGGATATAAAGAATCGAATGTGGTCACAGAAAATGATGGCGCAAGTTGGCAAGTTATTTTCTAGAGTTGCGAAAGTGTTTTGAAGGAAGAGGTGATCAAGAGGTCGCAAAGGCGACTACCATTTAGGATATTATGCACTTTTTGTTGTTTTCCTGCGAAGAGGGAGCTGCCTCGGGAGCGTCTTGCTTGTCAATGTTAAACAGAAGAGTTTGAAATAAGTTATTTACAGCGGAGTTCTCTTTGGCACTGAAATGAATGAATGAATTTTAGAAATGGGTTAAAGAATAAACAACTAACAGCACGATACCTAAGTTCGATGTATTGAGCTTTCATGTACTTGGCCAGCTCCAAGCCCATCTCTGTGGAGATGCATCGCTCCAAATGCAGATCAGCCTTGTTGGCTACCAGGATGATTGGGACTCTAGAGAATAAATGTTTAAAGAAGCCCAATCACACCGTCCACGCAGCTTACTGAATGTTTCCAGTCATATCCAAGAGTTTGTCGTAGATGATTCGCGCCACTTCGAAAGACTTGGCGTTGTTGATACTGATTGAGTTTCAAAAGAAAAACTCGTTTAAAAATGTGGATAATAGAAACATCAGAGCATACCTGTAGACGAGGCAGTAACCGTGAATGTCCATTGCGTAGGCATGTGGGAAAATGGAGTACTCATCTTGGCCAGCAGTGTCGACAATCTTGAGATTGTACTGAGTGCCTTTCAGCTTGATATTTTTGTAGAAAACTGAAAGTAAAGATACATGCTTAGTATACGCTACAACACAAGCAATCCAACTATTACCATCACCATCACTTACCATTCTCAATCGTAGGGTCGTAGGAGTCGATGAACATTCCTTCGACATAGCACACGCAGAGGCTCGATTTACCTGTGAAAAAGTAAGAGGATGTGTTGTGTAATGAAATGACCCCACGCTAACCACCACTGTCATGAGCACTCACCCACGCCTCGGTACCCCAGAAGACATAAGGAACGATTCTTCGCAATGGGATTCATGTTTTCGTGATGAAAACAGGTTGGATGAGAGGAGGTTGCGCTGACCAGATTGTTTTGTTTTGCTTGTGGCGATGAGCAAACAAAATCCTCCGAAACGCACATTTGCTGCACAACAAGTGCCATTGTGTGTGGAAATAGGTGGAAAAAGAAGTGCGGCGGGAATTTCGCAAATATCTTTTTTTCCTTTTTCGACTGGACATCTCTCTCATTTCTTGGAAGGCCTACGGGTTGGTTTTGTTGTTGTTGTTGTTGTTGCAGCTGCTGTTACCACCTATTTATTACCACTTTGATCTGAACTGTATTTGGGGCAATAATAATAATATTTAGCGCATTTTAATAAGTCGGTCTTTTCTGCAGTAGCAGTGACTACCACGAGCACCACTTCAGTTCAGAGCCGACACTCGGCGGACGCTCCCCCTCACTACCAATGTGAATTGGAAATGACCAATTACCCGGACAGCGGAGACTACCGATTACCAATTAGACTGGCTATTTTAGTGGCTTCATTCAGGGGACTTTTTTGGTTTACTTTTTCGGTTGTATATCTGTAGCCACTTTAGAAGAAGAAGATTTAAGACTACCGACGGGTGCACCGCTCAACTCGAATATCCACAAATGATGGGTGACAACATTGTGTGCGTTTAGATGGGGCGCTCGGCTTTTGAAGGGAAAGGAAAGGCTCGGCATCAAATGGTGGTAGTGATAGTGATGGCGGTGGAATCACCGAGCCTCAGTCTGCGATGCAACATGCATGTAAAATGGGTCGGTAGTGATGGTGGTGGCAGTGGTATAATTGCCGCTGGGGGCCATTCTCCTCGGCATTAGCATCTAGCTACCATTGAGAGGAGAAGCTTCACCAACTATTACAGAAACATCAGCAGCTTCCTTTCAGCTGCTCGGCTTTCGATTTCTTCTGTTTGGCTGCTCGGTCAGAACTGTCCGTCGACAGCATCGTAGGCCTTCTTTTCGACGTCAGCTGTCACTGATGCACTCACTGTGAACTGCGCACTGAATCGATCATCATCGAAGCACTGTAAGCTCGTCAGTGAGTGAGTGAGTGAATGAGTGAGCAAGAGGCAACAGTCTTCAGCCTTCATCGAGTGCAGAAAGATGTAAATCAATTTAGCGTGGGGCACTTAGCAAGTCGACACTTGAACGGTGGTCGGTCGGTCAGTCAGTCTCAATGGTGCTCAGGCTGACTGGCGAGCAGCAGTGCCACCGGATTAGACCACCACCACCACCACAAAAATCAGTGCCCCCTGGTCACAAAGTAGTCCGAGTAGTGTGACCAGTGAACAGAATTAATTAGGTCTGCAGACAGCATCAGCAACGAGAGCATATTAGCTGCTCATCTGCTGCATCCAATGCAGTTCTCCTTTGCTTTCTGTTTGTCAGTCAGTCAGTCTGCTGCTGCTGTCTTTCACCATTTGCTTTCTCCACATGTCTTCTTCTTCTCTCCTCTTCCTTCTCTTACCTGTTTATTTTTAAACACACAGTACGATTGAAAGCGACTGATTAATCTTGAGTTAATTAATAAACTAACAGACTAACCGACCGACCGACCGACCGACTGCCACACTGTATAAAGTCGCGAGTGCATGTACCTTCGGTTGGTGCTGCTGCAGTGGTTGCTGTGGTTGCGGAGGATGTCGCGCCTAAGTTATGCAGCAGACAAAAAGCAGCCGCAGTCGGGGAAAGAACAACAACCACCGCAGGAGCAGCAGCAGCAGTACTGTGCCCTGGCATTGCCGCCATAACCCAATTAGTGGTCACTTCAATCAAGCGAGCGAGCATCCCCTGCGTCTTCAGATGATGCGGCCATTGCTGCTGCTGTGGCTGCTGCTGCTGCTGCTTGTCAGTCTGATCAGCTGCAGAAGTCATTGGACCGTTCGACGACACAGTCATTGGGGTGACCACCGAGATGACTCGGTGACAGCAGCGGCAGCAGCAGCAGCAGCAGCAGAGTTGCACTCACCAAGTCACGCACTCAATCAGCGACGAAGCACCAGTCAATGACTTCGAAACTGAAACTGAAAAAACAACAGGTAGTGAAATTGTCACACGAGCATTATCGAAGTCAGTTAGTCAGTCTCAGTAGTAGTAGTAGTCACAGTAGACTTTGATCTGCTCACCAGCTCCTTTCCTATCCTTCATCAAAGTAATGATAATCTCTTTCTCTCAGCTCAATGATTTACCCGCTGCCTAATGCTCATTCAATCTGCATGCAGTGTACATAAAGCGAGCGTGTGTGTGCAGTTTACAGGTCAAGTGTGGACAGCAGGTTATTCAACGGTGAGCTCACTCTCAATGTGAGACTCTGTCTGTGAAGGAACGAAAGAAAGAAAGAAAGAAAGGGGAGAAAGCGGTTGATGATGGTCTCGGTAATGTGCGCGCACTTGAGCGCTTTCTTCAGCGCGCGGCACTCTCTGGTGGCACACCGTCGCCGCACCGACTTACCGTTGAGCACTTCGTCTTTCTTTGCCTTTCCCCCTCCCCAGTCCTCAGCACCGGCGTCACATTAACACACAGGCAAACACTGGCAAACACAAACACACCGACACTCACACTCACACTCACACTCACACTCACACAGTGCTCCAAGACAATCCTCGAGCATCTGCGAATTAATGATCTAAGCCATCGACCGAGTTTGTCATTCACAGGCGCACTCTAATTGGCGCTCAACGGAGCTGCCTGAGCCGCTGAGAAGAGGTGCTGCGCATCAGGCCGACCATCCGACCATCCATCCATCCATTCAGTCATCTGACTCGCCATCGACTGTGTCGAAGAGTTGTGTCGAAGAGCTGCGCTGCTAAACCTGTCCGCATTTCTAATTGGTCCCTTTGCACATACTACTACTGCAAACACTGCCATTGCCGCTGCTGCTTTTGGTGCTCTATTTGCCCATCTCCATTTACCATTTTTACCTTTCTCCCTTTCCCCCTCTCTTTCCCTCTCTCCTTCCGACACGACCGTCATCGATAGAAGATAGAAGAGCAGTGGGCCAGAGAGCAGTGGTCAATATCTGCAGCAGCAGCACACCGCTTGCTTGTTTGCTTTATCGATTTGCACACAGTCACCCGCAGTGACCGGTAAAAGGGCACACGGTATATATATTTGTGACAGTGAGCGGCACCGGTGTGTACATTCTTCTGGAGCCATTTGTCATGTCAGTTCAAAAAAAGGACTGTGCCGAGTGAACAACAATCAATCGATAGCATTCTCATAGCCGACTGCTTTGTGGAGGTACAGTGGAGGCGCCGGCGTCGCCGTCGGCAACGATGTATAAAAATAGACAAATAGGCAAACAAATCGTACAGCACCATTCTCTCCCTTTCCCACTTTCCTCAGCTCTGAACGCGATTCTCAGTGAGGTGCTGGAGGTGTCACTTGCAAATGAGTTCCCTTCTGTGTGTTCTCTATTGCCCCCTCTCTGCCCTGGTGGCCCAACTACTCT